CTCTCTGTCAAATAAATAAATAAAATCTTAAAAAAAAAAAGAAGAAGAAGAAAAGTGACAGAGAGGAAAGAAAACTGTCCACTGTCAAAACTTTGTTTCGCTTTGTCGGTCCCAGTCACTTGAGAAACATTACTTACACTAACTCGTGCTACAAGAGCACCTGACCTGGAGGAGGTGAGAGGCCGGAGTCGGACTGAGTGGTTCCCAGCCCAGCCGCGGTACCATTCCATAGGGAGGGTGCCCATGGGAAGGCAGACGTGACCCCAGGGCCAGCTCTGCCCCATAGCTCCCAAGGCCTCAGCAGCGAACGGCAGCTATGTGACAACAGGGTGACACTTGAGCTCAAACCATCCCCAAATCCACTTCCCGTACACACAAGCCAAAGATTCCACAAATCTGAGAGAGAGAACAGTGAGGACGGGGGGGGCAGAGAGACTGTTGGGCTGTGTCTGGCTGGGGAAGAAGATGTTTCCCGCTGAAAACCCAGGAACGAATGGGAAGTCTAGCTCCAGTTTGGGGACGGGGAGGACAGTAAAGAACCTGCCAGTCCTCCTTTCTCATCTATGAAGTGAGAGCTACCTCAGCTCGCTGTTCCCTAGCACCCCACCTGCGCTAGTCTACGGAAGTCTAGGCTCCCCCAAAGAAACACACCTGTGGTGGTGCAACTCGAGATAAAGCTCTTCATTTTAAATCACGTACAAAATCTGCAGGACACTCAAGAAGCTCCCCACGGACACACCGCCACTCCCACGAGGTGACACCCACCTGAGAAACACAGGTCCGCCACAGGGACATTAAAGCCGAGACACAAGCAACAGGTGCAGCCCCCTCAGTTTTCCCCGTGAGCCCCTCTCTGCCCACAAGGAGTAAGGAGGAGTAAGGAGAAGACATGCGGAGAGAAGCCCAGGCCTAGGACTCGGAGACAAAGTCAGTTCTGGGCCCTTCCCTTCCTGGATGTTTACAGCACATAAACCCCTAACCCTCTGAGCCACTTGGTTTCTTAACCAGCAGAGGTGAGATCCTGAGAAGTCATCTCTCACTGGGCTGGCTGTTCTGAGCCTCAGAAGAGCTTGCCGATGGGGGAGTCCTCGTCCCCTCCGAAGTGGTGGCAACACAGCTTGGTTAGTGTTTCAACGGTGACTGAAATCTGTAGATGTGGGCATGGCAGACAAGCCTAATGGGGGACCGGGTACCTTCTCTGAGGTTCGAGTTCTTCATCAGTGAGAAAGGGATGATGGGCTCTACCGTGGGGGAGGGGAGAGCTGACGGGAGTGAAGCTCCGAGCACAGTGCAGGCATACAGCAGGTGCTCAATAAATGCAACCTGCAAGTGTGGCGGCCCATGGCCCCTCCCACCTTCTCCATTCTCCGGGACTCAGCGGTGGACACGACTTCAACAAACATTAGAGCACCGTGCTTTCCGTTTCCATGCGTAGATGCAGTGGCAGAATCAACTTTAAGGCTTGAGTTCGCAGCGCCAGGCGGAAGTTCTTGTCAAACAAATGCATGAGACCACAAGCCTCACGGTCAGTAACTGCAGCAGAAGTGGCGGCCAAGTGCATATTTAGCAGCCACGTTCAGTAGATCTCAGTTACAGCTATGACGTGAATACGGACAGCCACCGCCTCCTGAGGCCCTACTATGTGCCGGGCACGGCAACGGGCACCCCATGGCCACCATCTCCAGTTCCCCGGCTGTGCATCGTCACGAGCCTGTTGTACCAGGGGACTGACCTGAGGCCGTCCAGGTCTGAAAGCACACCCCCTTGTTCCTAGAGCTCACAGCCTCTCCTCTACATCCCTCCAGGTTTTTAGAGTAAGAGCATGCCTTTTCTCTAGTTATGCATGGTCCCTGGACCTGGCTTCCAAAGGATAGAGAAATCCCACCCTTCTGGCAGGAGAGCGCACGCCACGAGGTGAGCTACACCTCGGACTCCACGCATCCTAGCCAAGGGGGCCCGGAAGTGAAGGGAACACCCCAAAATAATGACACCTTCATTTTGACATGCAACGCACTTCCAGCATGCACCTGCCCGCCACGCGCCGAGTCCTCTCACCTTGAAGGAGGCATGCTGCTCCATGTGCCGCAGCAGCTGGGGCTTCTGGGCCGCCGTGTAGTCACACACCGTGCACTTAAACTGCTTCCCTGGAAAGAAGGGAGGAGAAGGTGAGTGTCATCAGGCTAACAGCTCCCGCAGATGAATGCAGTGCCAGGCACAGAGACAGGTGCACGACGATCCCCTTGCCACGTGGGAGTCCAGAATCTCTGGGGAAACAGCCTGTCCACGCCCAGATACCTGTTGACCACAGGTGGCAACGGAAGGGGGCTCGCCATGGAAGGAGGAGGAGAACAGCCTGGGGAGGCCCCAGGAGCAACAACACTTGAGCGGGCTCCTAAAGAAAGTCAGGGTGTGGCCAGCTGACTGGACGGAAGAGGACCACAGCGGGGGAGCCCAGGGGCGGGGAGCACGGAGTGGGGACCTCAGGTGCTCCGAAGACCAGAGCAGCTGGGGCTTCCTTCTGGGACCCAAAGCATGAGGTCTAGAGAGGGGCAGGCACTGGCCCTCGAGACACTGCCAGAGCATGTCACCAAGAGCACCTTGTGGTCCCAAGAGCCAGGAGAAGGCAGAAGGCCACTCAGCGAGGCAGCAGGACCTGTGCCGGGAACGCCTAACCCTGGCAGGAGTGTGAAAGCCAGATGTGAGGGGGGCTGCTAGAAAGGCACTGCACAGAAATGGAAAACACTGCTCTGTGAGAGGATGAATGCGTTAGCAACATTCAAACACTCGTTAACGGGATGAACGGGCCCATTATTTATTTGTTAAAACAAATTAATGGATGTACAGGCGCACTACATTTTTTACCCCCCGGTGAGCACAAGTGAAACCGCGACATGCAGTAATACCATTGTGCAACCGAATAGAAATATGACCGACTTCTGCCAGCAGTCAACTGGTCCCCAAGCAGTTTCCAAGGGTGCGGGCCTCTCGGGGAGCCAAGGGCACAGCCACTGCACATGGTACCACAGAAACACTGGCTCCTCCCAGGGACCTGGCACATCTTTCCTTCACAGACAAGCTGGGTGAGAGAGTCGTCTCCCTTGTCAACCTACAGCCTCCCTTCCTATGAACTCTCAAACCCAATGTAAACCGGCTGATGGCACCTGTCACTGGAAACCCGTTCTCACCAAGGGAACCAATGAACTCCATGGGGCCAAGCCGGTGGATCTTAGACTGTGTTTTGCTGGACTCTGCTGCACACTGCTCTGCTAATAGGCCAGTATCCTCAGTGTCCCTGAGGCTGTCTCTCCCATCCACACCTTTCATACACCGGCATTCCACAATGCTGTGGCCCATGCTCCCATTCTTCTCCTTCTAGAAGCAACCTTGCATATAATCTTCACCTGTGGACTTCTGTAAACCTCTAACGCCAAAATCTATACCTTCCCACCCTTACTTCTACATCCTCTACCCTTCCCTGATCTCAAGATCTGAGTATCCAACCTTCTGCCTAGCTGACCCAATTTGGACTTATTATCTTCCCCATCAAATGGGTCCCACCTCCAGCCTTCCCAGTTCTTTGCCCACCCAATCATGAAGTCAGAGACTTGGCAGCCTTCCTCAGTATCTCCATGACCCCAACTGTACTCATCTCAGTTTTACCTCCTAAATATTTCTCTATTTCTCTGTTTCAATACCTCCACACTTGTTTAAGTCCTCCTCATTTCTTTCCTGGACAAGAACAAAAACCTATAACCTGGCTTCCTTGCCTTCAGGTAACCCTTCCATCCATCTGCCATTCATCCATCCATCCATCTATCCCCCATCAACTAACCATCAATCTGCTCACCTGCCCACTCTCTCTCCCTTCCTGCCTCCCTCCCTCCGTCCATCATCCATCCATTCATGTGAATGCCCCATCCTCTATCCAGATGACCTGACACATAAACTCTCACACAGCTCTTTCTGCACACCACCAAGGACTCCAACTGCAGAACAAAGTTGAAAAATTCCAGAGCGTGATACAGAGGCCTTGCAGAACCAAACTAACTCCCCGCACCTGACCCTTCTCTGACTTCCAGTTTGCCTTTCCCTCTGTATGTCGGGCTCTGTAACACAGAAGTCTTTCAGGTCTGACAGCATTCTGCCAAGCCTCTGCTAACATCTTCCATGCCTGGGGTGCGCTGCCTCTCGGCATATAGCCAGTCTTCACTGTAACTCACAACTCAAGTTGAACGACATCTCTGGCAATTGGGCTAAGACTGAGCCCTCCGCGGCTCCCACAGACCCTCTCCACATGCTTCTGTCTGTGCCTGACTCTGCAGCCTCACACTGCCTGCCCACAAGCCTGGCGCTGCCCTGGCTGCCCACAGGGACCATGTCTTATTCATCCCCACACCCCAAGCACCTGAGTGCATGGCTCACACCGAACGTATCCTGTGCATTTTACTGAACTGGGAAAGGAACAGAAAGGAAATTCTGCGTATCTTACATGAATAACACTTTCAACAGTAACAGCAAAAGGGAAATAATAGTATAAATATATTAACACAATTACACTATCATTGTAGATGAACAAACCCCAAATTCTAGATTCTACTAATTCTGCAAGTCCGAAGCGTGGGGAAAACTTTTTCATGTGTATGGCAGACACGTCATAATTAGAAACCAAGTAATATTTGTTGTTAAATATAGTATCATCTTTTTTCAAACACAGGGCCGCACATTTCTACATGTCTTTGAGATAACCTCAGCCCCCCACACTTCTCCACTGATTCCGACTCACACAAATGCATCCTCACCGTGCCAAGCAGCCTGAGCAAAATGGTGTTAGGTTCCCCACTGCCTTAGTAGGGGCAGGAAGGCTGATAGAGCCATTCTCCAAACTGATAAATATTTTTACTCATTACCAATACGTATCGCTCAATGAGTAAAAGATGAAGTGCTAAAAAGTTACTCTGAAATGGATAAACAGAATCACCCCAGTTGAGATCAAGAGTCAGCCTTTTATGGATTTACTCCCAGGGCTCTGCGAGAGACAAAAAAAGAACATAGTTCCTAAAAGCACCCCCCCTCCCCCGGCAAAAGCCTCAGAGTCCCTGCAATAAATACTACAAATGTTTCAGCAACTTGACAGCCCCCATCAAACAGGCCTGGGAGAGCACTTGGCATAATCTTTAGCTGCCTAATTAAAATAATGCAATGGAGAACCATGACTCATCATGAAGAGCAATGCTTTGAGACTATCAGCTGATTTCTATCAAGACACTCCTGATAACTGCAGGGAGAATGGACAGAAAACATAGCATTTACCCGAGGCTAGAGTGACCTCCAAGTGCTGGCCAATGCACATCCAATGTCTGTATCTGGATCACACCACAGCCCAGGAAAAGAAAGGAATGATTACAAAGAAAAAGGCGGTTTTGGTAAAAAGTGAATGCATTTTCCACGCAACATATCTGGCTAGCTCTAGCTACCGAGCTACTGTCCAGCAGCAGCTGCGCTCCGACTTGATGTCCATGACCTCAGCCACGCACTCCCAAGCCCGGGGAGGCAGGCAGTGCTAACCCCTTACGGATGAGGAACTAGGATCAAGAATATGAGCAATTGGCAGGTTATGAAGTGGTCAGTGGCAGCCCCTGGATTTGGACCCCAAGTCCCTGTTCAGAACCACGTAGCAATCCTTCAGCTAGTAAAGGTAGGACACCAGTTCCCCAAAGGGAACAGAGAATGTGTAACAGCAGTGGATGTATCTGAACCATAAAGGCCATTGCACAGGATGGGGGCCCATTAGACGGGAGCGCCCAAAAGAGCCACTGGCAGCAGAAGTGCATTCTTTCTGGCTCGGTCCAGCTTGCCCTGTGTGACCCTGGGCTCGCTCTTCTCTGCAACTTAGAGGCTTCATTAAAAGCATACGGAGGTCACCCCTGCATGCTCCAAGGATGGACTCAGACAGTGGGTGGCAAGCACCTGAAAAGTAGCCCTGAAGGGATGAGGCTGAGGGTACACGCAGGTGACCCGGGAGGGGGCCCTTCCACGCCACGGTCACTCTGGACAGCTGTGGTGGTGCCCCTCCAGTCCTATCTCTTTGACCTCCCTGGCATTCTCTGGGACAATTCAGGGATGGGGCTAATTAAGCCAGCCTAAGATAATATACCTTAACCAGAAAAAATACACAGAACGGGAAACTAAAGTACAAGTAATTATAGTATCAAAGAGCCTATGAAAGGCCTTCCTCACCTTGCCCCCAGCAACCTCTCTGGCTTCTCTCCACCGGAGTAAGCTGTGACCCCTTGCAATGGCTGGCAAGACCCCCGAAGGTGGGCTGTTACTTCTCTAAGCTCAGGAACAACGCCCCTGCCCCTCGCACTCCACTCCAAGGACAGAGCACATCCCCCACCCCCAGACCTCTGTACCTACCATTCCCAGGGCCTGGGACACCCTTCCCAGATCCCCCCACCACCATCCCATTTATAACTATAGTCGCTTTTAGGGATTCATTTTCGGAACTCCTCATCTTGTAACATTTTCGTGTTGAAACTGAATTGTCTCATATTCATATTTTCGTTTTCCTATTTCAAGGTTCTCAATATGAAATATTTTCATACCTCAATTGTACTATGCCACATATTTTATTGATTTATCTTATCATTTAGCTTCATGACAGGGGGAGCTTTCGGGTTTTGTTCTGTTGTTCTTGCATCGTCCCCTGTTGTATCCAAGAGACTCATCAATTCGTCTCTGGCTGGTCGGTCTGGCACCTTCGCTGGGCTGTGGGTACTTTGGGGACAGGGACAGCACACCTCTCATCCCGTGTCCCTGTGTCTAGCAGGGAGCGCATACTGGCTGCAGGGCTAGCGGTGAGTTACAGGAAAGCCCGACAGGGTGATTGCCCAGCCACACTCCCTCTCTCCCCACAATAGCCGCCACAAGAGGAAATGGAACGAAAACAGGCCTCTGTGAGGAAGTGACAGTCAAGCTAAGATGGGAGGACGAGGAAGACCAAGCCACATGAAGAGGAAGAAGTAACCAAACACACACACACAAAGTCCTCGAGTCTCTGGAAGCTCCCATGGTACCATTATAAGAAAGGCCCCTTTTCTGCTCCAGCAACCTCAAATGAGTTTCTGTCAAGTGCAACCGAAAG